TGTTATTTCGTCGTCGGAGTCTCGAAAATAATTTATGAACAGACCTGATGTTAGGTACTGACTTAAATCGCAAGTTGTCATCTCTTGGAATGCAATCCATGAAACGAAAGATTCTACGTCGGCACACGGACTTTGTCATGGTCAAATTAGAAATTGCAAAATCGTACAGGTCCTGTGCATTTTGTATAAGTGCCTGTCCTCTCAAAACCGCCATGTCTGCTTGCCTTTTAAGAAGCCCCCCTGCAGCATCTTGAGGCCCTGTAATGTATAAATTTGTATAAATTTAAAAAACAATTAAGCTTACATGTATACTGTATGTACCGGGCATACAAATATTTAAATTGGCCTTTTTAAAAAATTGAACTAATTAAACGACCAATGCGAATTTAACCCTGATGTCACAGAAGCTATGTGAATTTCTTACAAAAACATTCCTTCAACGATTAAGAGGTTTGAAAGGTATTTATAGACCTAGAGCAGACTGGTCACATGTCCTAATTGTATTCACCAAATTTTCGCTTCTTTTACTCAACTTTAGTGTAACTGAGAAGATTTTTGTGAAATATTAGTTTTGTTACATGTATGAAAATTTATTCGTGAGAAATCGAGTTGAAGAAAACTTCTTCACCTTTAGCATGAGCTGTCTCAAAGAAATTTCGGGTAAAATGCTTGAACCCAAAATCCTGACAGGAGTTATGATGTCACCAAAGCAATGTCTACTTTTATACTGGGCTGCACACCCGTCAGTAAACTCATGCATGGTCTCCGGGGGATATGAGATGGATGACAGATTTCAGATATACTTTTCCGCACAGCGTGGACAAAATACTGGTCGTGCTGTTGATATTTCTGATAACAAAAAAGTGTTCAGTGATTATCTCCGGATTCTCCTGAATTTTATACCATCTACGTCAAGAGGTGCATGGCGATGCATAATAGAAACTTGAATTGAGACATCTGTCCTCTGAAAGTACGAGCTTTGTAGTTGCTTTAGTTCTGTGAACCGGTAATTTTCAGAAAAGTCATGCACACAGACGCAGTGATTTAGCGGAAGATTAGAAACAAGACTGTGAAATTGGCTGTATTGCCAAGTTGCCCGATGCGAGCAATGGAAACGACTTTAATAGCTGCTTCAAATGTGCAAACAATTCACTAACTTTTGTTTCCTTTTTAACTAAGACAAGCTTCTTATCAATTTGTTGCCTTTTAAATTTTATGTCCACCTTCTCAAATCTTTCCCACTTAACTGTTTCGTCAATTTCAGCCTCTCCAGTTTCCTCGGGGAGTAGGTGTAACTTTTCTATACCACAATCAGCACAAATCCGCTTTAGACATTTTAAGTCTTGGTTAGAGCACAGTGTGGCATCTACTAAATCGCTTATAGACTCGAATAATGGGACATCGTTTCCACTGGAACTCCCGTTTGAATTTAAAATCTTTTTTCGAAAGTTCATGCAGGATTTAAAGGCACTCTTTATTTCTATATGATATCTACAACAACAGGTATGCCTGTCCTTTGACCGGGCCTGTCTGACGAAAAATGGCTTGCATTTTTCAAATGACCTTTGAGACATTTTAATTTCCGGATTTTCGGAAATGAAATCAAGGTAAACTTCAGTTTGAGTTTTTTCAAGGACATGCACTGGATGACTTGTGTAGGTTTTTGGTCCTAATCTTTCTCGTTTGATATCGGACTTATTTCCTGTTGGTCGGGACACACCTGGACGTAGCCAAAAGTCGTACGCAAGTCGTTTTGTTTCATTTGGAAGTGCTCGATCGTGTTTTTCTAGATGTATAGGTCCAACAGGATTTTTCCGATTTCAACACAGTTGTTCGAATTCTGTTCCCTTTACTTATGTGTCGAATGGGTAATCCAAGAGTTTTGGCAAGATTTTTTCGGCATCTGCTCTGGGTCACTTGTTCCCCACTGACAGACGCAATGAGTACATTCATGCGACAGAATCTTTTGATCTTTTCATCTTGCAACTATCAATTGTTGCTTTTAAATCTCTCAGTACAGCTTTTTCTGTTGATTTTTCATTTTGTTCTTCGGGTGATGATATCACATCAGCGTTTTTTAGAATTTCTGTTGTAGGTGATTTCGTATTTTTCAAATATGCCGCAAGAGTAGCTGACCTCCTTTTTTTGGGGATGGGGTAAAGCATCTTTCAATTTTTTTAACGCCCTGTGCTTGCTTGTCCTGTTGTTAAACACAGATTTCCACACATTAGAAACGTTTTCTTGGGTTGCAGAGACACGAACACTTTTATCCTTTAACGATTTTCTATATTTTCTCTTTCTTTCAGCTTCCTTTTCTCTTAATTCGACTCGTCTTGCCCTATAAAGACGTTTTCTTATTGCCTCTGCAGTTTGTTTATATTTAGTCTCATTGGAAGTTTTGTTTCTGGGAGGATGTTAGCTTTTGTTGACAGTTTCTGGAGTTTTTTATCTCTATAAAATTGTATTCTTTCTTTGGGAGACATATTCGTACCCATCTTCATCCACTTTCTAAAAAAGGGGAAAAAAAGTGAAAAACCTTGAAGAATAGTTATTAATTTTTTTTTTCGCTATGCGGATGTGTAGTGATTTTAAAAACTTTATTCGATTTTCAATTTTAGAAACTTTGATATTGGATTGGCTTCTGATTTTCATGACCATCATTAGCACTACTACAGCATGAATTCAAATACATGTAATAATAATTAAAAAAAATAATTTTAATTCTAGGGAGGGGGTTGGCGTAGGAATTCTTTGACAATGAAAAAAGATGGACATTGCACTTTTTGTATACTAGGGGCACAACAAATATGTAGCATTGCACATGTTTTTTTTTTAATTATATACATGTATTTTTTATTTTACATGTCAGTTGCAATTTTTTCCCCAGACAAGACCTTCTAGATCGATATTATACATGTAGGTGCCTACTAAATGTCCCTTTCTTTTATTGTAAATTATTTCAAATTATGTCTTAAAATAAGGGGAAGAGGAGATGATTTCTTTTGAACAGCAAAAATGTGGCATTTTAAATATTCCTTGTATCCGCGATCACAATATGTTTCACAAAGGCCTGACAAAAAGATTTTTTAAAACACTTGTCCAAATGCAAGTCATGGGGTCAAGCAAATTGAAAAGGGGGGGGGTAAACCAACAGAAAAAGGTAAACCCAAATTTCCAATGCTTAACATTGTCTAATTTTGCATTTAAAAAGGGGGGGGGGGGGGGCTAGTCACTAGCCCCCCTCCCCCCCCCCCCTCCGACGCCTTGCAAGTACATGGTTAAAATTCACTTGCCCTACCTAAACTTTTGATTGCCCTACCCTAAACTAATACTGATTTATAAATATTTAGAAAAAGAGGAAGGCAAATACTGAGTAGATCATACAAACCCAGGGCCATATCTAGTTTTAAATCTATGGCTTTAAATTTGATTTTATTTTTGACAAGTCACTTTCCCCGGTTAAAAATCCCCCTTGCCCCACCTAAAATCAATAGACCCCGGCTGGGCAAAAAGGTTGACCCCCCGCTATTCAAAAGAAAAATACTGTTTAGTGAAGAACAGCAAAGAGGGTAATCGCTGGGAAAAACTCGGTAAGACTATATCTCGGACATTAATTTGGTCCATTCATTGATCAGTGACGTAGGATCGTTTTTGAAGATGGGGGGGGGGGGGGGGGGAAGCCAGAAAGAAAAAAAAAAACAAACCAAAAAAAGTTTACAAGCAAAAATAAATAAATAAATAAATAAAAAAAAAAACTCGTCGGGAAATCCTATATCGTTGGGGTGGGAGTGGGGGTAGAGGCAAACCTTTTTTCCAATGCAAACTTCTTCCAGTTCGAATTTTTTTGCATACAACACTACATTTCCTCTATATCACTTTACTATAGTAACGAATGGGGGATCAGACCCCCCCCCCCTTCCCCATTGCTAAGTGCCTGCTGATTTATATAGAATGTCAGAGTACACATAGCTTACATTAAAAATTATTCATTACTTTTGGACGTGAAAAGCATATGGCTATGCATGATAATACGGTATTGAAATTATATTTTACACTCTATATCATGAAAAACTTTCACCTAATTTCGTTCATAAAAAATTCCACATCCATCGATATGTACCTGGGTTCCATTTAATTGGAGAAAAAGTAATAGAAATATATTTTAAAAATCCGGAAATTAAAAAAAATACCGGTATATACTTGTGTGTGAAATGAAAAGTTGAAAATGTTTGAAATGCTGCTCAAAAAAAGTAATTCAACGTTACAAGACTAAACGTTGGGTATATCATTTTTGCCCTGTCTGTCTGTCTGTCTTGTTTGTCCACAAAAACTTTAACTTTACCCATAATTTTTGAGTGGGTGGGGCTACAGCTTTCATATTTCACAGGTGTATTAAATTCCTTGTGACAAGACCTTTCTTTGGGTACCACCAAGTTTGACCTATTGACCTTTGAGTTTGACCTAATTTTTCAAAAAAATACCACATTTTAACATTGGCCATAACTTTTGACAATTTGGAGCTAGGGCTTTCAAACTTCATATGTGTATTCATTGTGACAAAACCTTTCAGTTGGTATAAAAATTTTTTGACCTGTTGACCTTTACTTTAAAGTTTGACCAACTTTTTAAAGAGTTTAACCGTCACCATGTACAGTTAAAACTAGGGCTATTATATTTCCAACCCTTGTATTCTTTGGTAACAATACCTTCCTTTGGGTCTCCTAAGTATTTCTTGACCTTGACCTTTGAAATTTGATGTGCATTTTTTAATTTAGATGACATAATAAATTATCCATTTCAGGGGGCTTCTTGGCGCAAACTCATCTTGTTTTTTTTTTGCCTTTGACTCTTCAAGAACGCTTGGACATAAAATGACGACGTAACTGTTCAGGTAGAGCTAGAGCTGCAAAAAATTGTCTCCAAAATATATTGGGATCAGTGATGCTGTGATCCCTTTTGAGCCACAGTCTACTCAATCTTTATTCATTATAACTACCAGATCAGTCTCCATGTTCCACAGTGGATTTGAAATCTGTTATGAAATGATCAAATCCTTACCTCTTCAGTGTAAATATTATTGACCATTTATTGTGCGCGACCAAAAATTACCAACATGAAACGTAAACATCTCAACTGATAAAACCGCATCAATTTTCGTGTTAACTATTCAAAACATTTTCGAATTTGAAACTGTCATAAAAACAGTATTCTGTAACACATTATAAAAAAGGACCCTTTATTTAATAATTGGTGTTTATTATAAATGAACTTCCCTTCTTGTTCTTGGTCAAATAAGTATCACAGACACATCCAGGAATAGTAGTGACTAGTTACGGTAACTTATATCACTTCACATTTAAGCATAAAATATTTGTGAAAATGCATCGTCTCATAGGTTTAAGCCTAGAAAACACAATTTACTTTTATCCTTTTACTTTGATGATTTTTTAAAAATTAATTACTTTTATAACTATACCACTAACGCGGGCGGATCCAACTGAGAATATTGAGAAGTACTGAATGAATAAAAGCATAAAACTTCCCTTTTGAATATTATTAAAAAAAATTATTTTAACATAACGTTTTTAGTGCTAGTTATATCAAGTGATATATGTTTTAATTAATTATAAATTTGATTAATTTTCAAATGAAAACATTGGCATTTTCTTATATAAAGAAAATTGCAACTTCAAAGTATAATTATACAAATTTATTTAAACAGTAGTTTTTAAAAAATAATTTTTAATAAAACAAAAAAAAATTCTCTGCATCTGTGATGAGTAGTTGCTGAGAAAACTGTGACGAAAGTTTTTATGTATGAAACAGACAGATGCACAGACAAACAGGAAGTTGACATCAGATTTGAACAAAAATTTATCTCAATGTATGGCATGCCTCAGAGAAGATTGTGTTAAAATTTCAAGCATCTGCTTTGAGTAGTTGCTGAGAAAACTGCGACGAAAATTTGTTATGTATGAAAGGACAGATGCACAGACAAACAGGAAGTTGATATCAGATTTGAACAAAAATGTATCCCAATGTATGGCATGCTTCAGAGAAGATTGTGTTAAAATTTCAAGCATCTACGATGAGTAGTTGCTGAGAAAACTGCGACGAAAATTTGTTATGTATGAAATGGACAAACGCACAGACAAACAGGAAGTTGACATCGGATTTAAAAAAAAATGTATCCCACCATATGGCATGCTTCAGAGAAGATTGTGTTAAAATTTCAAGCATCTGCGATGAGTAGTTGCTGAGAAAACTGTGACAAAAATTTGTTAAGTATGAAACAACAGATGCACAGACAAACAGGAAGTTGACATCGGATTTGAGCAAAAATGTATCCCACCATATGGCATGCCTCAGAGAAGATTGTGTTAAAATTTCAAGCTTCTACAATGAGTAGTTGCTGAGAAAACTGTGATGAAAATTTGTTTCAGACGGACACACAGACAGCTAGACAGACAGACAGACACACAAGGGTAAAACAGTATACCCCCCTCTCCTTCTGAGCGGGGGTATAAAAACTTATACCTACATCTGCATCACCATGCATCACATTACGGTTCAAATGAAATCAAAGTTGAAGCTTTTCAAAATTTTCTTGCAGGACTTGTTTAATACTAAATGTCGGGAAAAATAATCTGCATCTTTTATTGATATATTTTGATTGATAAATTCCCACTTCAAAACAGAGAGACACACCATTCATATAATAGAAAAAACTAAAAGCTCATTTAATGCACATGTTAACTTCAAACAATGCAGCATTACCTGAGTGCCCACAATGTATTTAACTGTCTTCTTGGTTGTGTGTTGGATACATTTATCAGCACCTTTGATGCTCTTGGAGTGACCGCATGGTGCTTTCTGATACTGCTGGAGTATCTTCAAGGGTCCATACAAAACAGAGCCTGTAGAACAAAGAGCATTATATTAGCTAGTTCATAGTTTGTAACAGTTACTTCCCCTTAAGAGCAGTTTTTTTTCCAATGAGAATAGATAAATTACCAAGAGATGGTGATAATGTGCACTTTAATATGGAATAGATACCAAACAACAAAAGCAAATCAAATCCTATGTGCTAAGGTAAATTAAAAAGTAAAACTTGAAACATATACTGCCATCTTCGTTAATTCACATTGAAAAGTATTATATAAATTAATAAGTCAAGGATTACCAAATGCTTCACATTCCTCAAGTATACACTGTGTGGTACAGATATTGACCTCGGCCTCTAAGTACTTTGGCAGCTGTTCTCTAATGTTGATTTTCTGCTTCAGTGCAGCCCTACAAAATGTGCCGTCCACTATAACATGATATGGGGGAGAATATCCGAAGTTCTTCTTGTAGAACGCTAAAGACTTCCGCACTTGTTTCTGACGCTTGATACCCATGTCGTCCTATCTGTAAATAAAATTTCATAAGGAGGAAGTTATTCATGTGTCCTGTCAGGCTGTGGTCCAATCGAGAACAGATCCTACAAATTTTTGCCCATGCCAATTGATACAAGGAACATAAAAGGTCAGGAGAGAGAAATTACTATACCAGTTGATTTTTTTTTCTAAAGGTAAGCCTAGTAAAACGAGAATGAGAGGATATACAGTACAGCATTTTTAAAAACAGATCCTGCAGAACATACTCTTTAAATTATTGATGTAATTTTAAACACTAAAACAGCTACATATTAGCTTGATTTAGCTTTTCTGGACATCTACTTATCAATATCCTATGAATTTTATAATAAACATGTAATAAAAGTCATCCCATATCTAAGAAATTATGAAAATTGTTGTTTTTATTTTAAACAAAACTTTTTTTTTTCATGTTTGTACTTTCACACCCTCTTCACCTGTTCACAGGTTGACAGAAAACATCTTTTCAGATCATCATCATGATGGTTCTTCCATAGAAATAAACATTTTAATCCATATCAAAGAAACGCTTTTTGAGACGAAAATTTACCTTTCAGCAAGCGTGTAATTGACAAGTCTTTACTTCCGCCATGGCGTCGGCAAGAAAGCATGGAAGTGCTCCGGTTCAATATGTTCAAATTGATGGACTGGTATGTAATATTTTGCGTCTAGAACACAATTAAAAGCTGACATCCCTTTTATTTTAGTTATGTTTCTGTAACCATCACTTTATCTCTTCACATTTCTATCTCGAATTTCCTGTTTATAAATGTATTTCGAATTTCCTCGCAAATTAATTTTACACTCATTATAATATTTTGTGTACTTGTATTTTAGTCTAGAGTGGTTATTCAGCAGTACGTGTTATATTTGTTTGTTATTTAAGCTGTATGCTTTTAAATTCTAACCTTCTAGGTTGTGTTAAAAATCATAAAACACTGTCAGGAGGAGGGAGCTGGTGGTACAGACCTGGTACAGGGGGTCCTGCTAGGACTGGTGGTAGACAACCGACTAGAAATCACGAACTGTTTCCCCTTCCCCAGACACAATGAAGAGGAGGACTTCGATGAAGGTACCATTATCAAAATTTTATAATACGTAACATTGCTTGTAATGAACTTGTATTTTGTTGAATAACTAAGTTGAGTCTTAACCATTACATAGTCACTAGCAATGGTGTTTTTGTCAGATGTGTGGAATTTGTATCCTCCAATGCCGAGGAGTTCCAGTCAAGGCCATAAAAAATCTTTCAAATACTTTGAACTTGTATTACGACTCTTTTCTATAACAAATCACAGTAGAACAAAGTTGACCTGATCTGTCCAAGGCAAGGTAGTGGCTTGGGTCAGTCGGGTGATCTTATGGTCTAAGTCTTGGATCTTTATTCCGCCATGTCAATCTCATAGGGGTAATTGATTGTATACTATAATTATATACATCTTTATTTTCCTTGCAGTTCAGTATCAGATGGAGATGATGAGGAACTTGCGACACGTAAACATTGACCATCTCCATGTTGGTTGGTACCAGAGCACCTTGTTTGGCTCCTTCATCAGCAGAGCTTTCCTGGACTCCCAGTTTAACTATCAACACTCTATAGAAGAGTCTGTGGTTCTCATCTATGGTGAGACAGGGTTCTGTCAAATTGATCAACATTGCATTGATTTTTATCTAAATATTATATGTTGTGTACACTGATTTAAATGGATATTATATGGCATTTTTGTCTCTTTAAATTTATTTTTTCTTCAATATTTTTATGTTATTTTCAGGATCGATTTTGGTCAATTAATCATAAAATGTTCATGTATTCATTTTTAGTGAAGTTCTGTATTCAGCACAAAGGAGCTGATCAAACACTTGAAGTTTAGTCGAAAGGCATCTTCCCAAGTCAAGAGTTTCTGATCCGCTCCACATAAACCCTTGACCGAATAGGCTAAGTTTGACGGGGTTAGAAATGAGTTCTCTGATTGGCCTCATGCAAGTTTGCATGAACCAATCAAAATCTTTTTTTTATTTAAACTGAAACTAAATCGTAAATAGAAAAACACGCCAGTTTTAGTCCCAAGAATAACGTCTTTATCATTAAATACCCCAGTTAAAGGTCTGTTTCAGCTTTTTAGTTGAGTTATATTGATTTTATTACCAACTACCAATATTATCTTGAATTCTCTGTTGAATTCGTTTACTCTGATTGGCTGATAGCAAAGGTCAGTAGAGTTCAAAATGTGTAATCTCACTAGATGGCGTGACAGTAAACCCCGTCAAACTTAGCCTATTCGGTCAAGGGTTTATGTGGAGCGGAGCGGATCAGAAACTCTTGACTTGGGAAGATGGTCGAAAGGATATCCTCACTTATTCTTTATTTTGATACAGTATCAGTACATGTTCAACAATTTTTCCCTTTTTTGCACAGACCCATTACGTACAACACAAGGATTTCTTGCCTTGAAGGCATATCGCCTGAAACCAGAAATGATGGATTTCTACGGAGAAGGAGACTTCACTCCAGAGGCCATACAAGCAGCTAACATAAGCTTCGAGTCCATGTTTGAGGAGATTCCTGTCCAAGTTAAAAACTCACATTTAGTCAATGCCCTGTTGTGTGAAATTGATGAATGTCCAAAGTCCAGAGAGGAAGAAACATGTAACTTCTTGGATTTAGCCACAAGGTTTGTCTGCCAAAGTTGTTTAAATTTCAATTGATCCCAAATACCAGTGTAGTAGTTAAGAGTACACATGCATATGGACCTTGGATATCAGGTTAGATAGAGCAACTGTGTAGCAAAGAAAGGGTCCTGGATGAAATTTAAATTCTTAATCTAGCCATATTTTTTCCCCTTACCTGTTACATTAGTCTTATAAAGTTATAACCAACATAATCTTAGAGCTCAGTCACAATTTTATACAGTATAGTAGCCAAAGTTTGAATGACTAATTTGTGTGGTGTAAAATATAAATATGTACAAAAGCTGTCTTTTATTTATTTTAGCTCAATGCTTGAAAAGAACTTGCGACAGTTAATGGGCTGTGTTGATGAAGTGGCAATGGATGCCAACCGTTTTCTGAACTATCAGAGACAGTACCAGAAACAGCTGATCCAGAAACAACAGTATCTACAGAAAAGGGTAATCAAAAGTTCTGTCTAGTGTGCTTTAACTCATTTTAAAAATTATTCCAATATATAAGAACATACATGCCATCTTTTGAAAATCCCCATGGGGGATTTAGCGTGTGACGACAATTTTCAAAGCTTTTAAATTCGCGACATTTTGTCGTGAAATTAAATGATTATGAAATGATCTTTTTTTAAATTTATAATATTGATATTACTTATCAATACAACTTAAAAATTAATTTAACACAAAAAATGTTTTTCTTTCCAAAATTGAAATATTTCTGCTAAAATAGGTGCCTCTTTCACTTAAGAAGGGGTATTTAGATACATATGTAAACAACATTTTTTTCTTCCAGAACACATAATTTAGTGAAAAATTGAAAATTTTACAACTTTTAAATCATTTTTTCAAAGGCTAAAAAATATAAGGTTTTGATACTGTAAAGTCCTGTTTCTGGAAACATTTTTGAGATTTTTTATATACATAAGAAATTCTAATTAGATATTAAATTTACAGAAATTTATACCACCTATCTGAAAGAAAATTATTTTTTTTTACAGTCAGGCTTGATGGTGCCTTGTGGGTATTTCCTTTAGTCAAGCACATTGCTTTTGGGAGAGGGGAGGGAAAAGAAATTCTAATTGAAATACACTTGATTGTTTCATCTTAATTTTTAGCTCTACTGGTCAGAGACCAGAAGAGCTTATGCGATAGTAATGCGTCCGGCGTCCGTCCGTCTGTCCGTCTGTCTGTCCGTCTGTCTGTAAACAATTTTTCAAAATGCTACTCCTCCTACAGTTTTGGTCTAATTTCAATATAACTTGGCACACAAGTAGACTACACTAAGATACATAATTCTGTGTATCGGTTTTTGATTTCGATGAACGGTGTTGCCGTGGTTACTAAAAATAGAAATTTCTGTGAAATTCTTTCAAAACGCTACTCCTCCTACAGTTTTGGTCTGATTTCAGTATAACTTGGCACACAAGCAGACTACACTAAGATACGTAAATCTGTATATCGGTTTTTGATTCATAATATTTTAATTGGCAACTTAGAGATATTTTTTATTATAGGTAGATAAAATCATCAGCTATGCTTTGTAGTTTTCTACTTTCATTTTCAAAAAACGATCTCTTTGGATTCCGATTTTATGGTTTAATTAGTATTTTATTGTCTTTAATTTATGTTTTTAATAAAATGACTAACAGTTATCACGTTAATCTATGTGTTTCACCTTGCATACCCCTTAAAACTGACAAGATAATACCCTAATTGCCCCAAGCTATAAGCTACTCGTACCTGGACAACTGCGTGCGTTCATGCGTGAAGTGATTTCCTGTGGCTAATTAGTAATGAACACCTGGTTAAATAAACAGTGAAACTTATCTGTGTGCGTTGAATATACAAGTCTGACATTGTTATCCCGATTGTCAAAATTCAGCGGTAGGGAAACTTTTAAAATCTGAAATTTTAAAGTGATTTTTTTTCAAATCGGGAAATTAGGGCAATTTTTCTTTCCCGATCAGGAAGGCGGGATGAAAGGGTAAAATCGGGAGGATCCCCCTAAATTGGGAAAGTTTACAGTGTTTTCAATGTCAGGGAGACACAGAATTCTACTGTAACACGTGTAAACATGACCTGTGTCTACAGTGTAAAGAGGAACATGCTATCAATTTAAATACCATAGATCACGACCTTGTGATTTACCAAGAGAGGTATGAAAATATCCCCAAACAAGAGACCTGTGTGAGACATCCAGATAGAATGTATGAAATGTACTGTTCATCATGTGAACTACCTGTCTGTGTTCAATGTGAAGAACACAGAAAACACAGAGTACTGGACATCAGACAGTCATATAATACTAACCGTCAACAACACAGAGAAATCATTCATAACATTAG